ACTTTAAAAGAGCAAGCTCTGAATTCCTCTTTAGCTTCCTGACTATCTATATGGTCACACCACATGTTCTGTGCATGCAGTTTTATCATTATGATGCTTCTACCAGGAGGGAGGCAAAATAGATAGCATTCCTAGATCTTAAACTTCCAGTCACCAAAACTGTGAATTAAAAGTCTCTTCTTTATAAAGTATATGGCTTTAGGTGCTTTGTTTCAGCAACAGAAAGCGGATGAATACAAAGATATTCCTATCTTATGAGTTTTCTGCATGTTTTAATAACAAATATTTTATAGCTCTTTGAAATAGTTATCTATTGTTATCATCAGTACTGTTCCTTTTCTGACACAATTTAAAACAGCCTTTACTGCTATAATATTCTGAAATGCAAGTTAATGTCTGTATTTTGCTAACGTAGCTCAATATTTGCTACTATGGTTCTGTTCGAGCCAGGCCCTTTCTTAGCTCTGACAGAAGCCGCCTATAAGGAAATAATATTGTGAAAAAGGAGTTGCTAAATAATGTATAACATTTTTTTTCTTAGCATCCACATTGAAAACTGGTGCAATTTTTTCCCAGTCACCATGTCATATATTACTCTTTTTATGGTGAGTGTCAAGAAAGCCTCCAGCTTGCTAATGCTACAAATTTTCTATCTATGTTGAAGCTTAATATGCACCAAAAAAACAAACAAACAAACAAACAAACAAACAAAAAACCTGGGCATCACTATGGACTCTATGGAATAGCCTAGCTTCTATAATTTTTAACTTCATATCACTTATTTCTAGGAATGGACAGTATGCTTTGGGACTTTAAAAAATGAACTATGAAATGGAAGAACAATTACATTTGCTCCTACAAATACCTAAGACTCCTGTTAAAAAAAATATAATGATAATCATGTTTTGTAAAACCTCTCAGAAGTTTTACTATGTCAGAAACATTCGTTCTTTTCATCAAAACGTATTGAATACTGCCCTAAGGTTATGTTCAGCCCTCCACCAAGAAAAGTAGAAAATAAATTGGACAAGCATTAAAAACAATAAGCCAAGCAAGTCAAACACACACAGTGGCACATGTAAGACAGGTGAACACTTGACTGCAGAATTTTTCTCATGTTTTCTCTGACATGAGGCTAAGTGTTAGACACAAGCTCATACAATTTGAGGTATGAAATTTACATTTGCACTCTTTTAATTTTAAAAGAGACTATGAAATAAACTATAAGTAATAGGCTAGTGCCTTGAGGTAATTAATGCAGCTACATTAATGCAGCTACATTGACTTTGGTGGGCAGGACTTTGGTTTCCTTTTCCCCTACAGTTACAGAGCCATAGAATAATTTTTCAGGGGAAAGTGTGATTTTTATCTTGAAGAACTGGAGGACAGGAACTGGGTTCAGTGATATTTGGTAATTTTGTGCATTCAGTCCTGAAAACATTCGGGAAACAAGGAGACTTGTGAGAACACGCACAAGCATACGCACTCTCAGCGAACAGCTCCGCGGTGTAATACTTCACTTGTCAGTTCCTATGTTCATCAATTTTTAAATAAATGAACAGTTTTATTACGTTGATGAAAACTAAAACACAAATTCCTACACAGTATCTTTCCAAGGGAAAATGTAATAAAATTTGTACAACTAGTACTTTATCTACTCCCATGAATAATGATTTGAGGTGAATAATAGCCACAGTGTTCAGTCGTAGGAAGAATATTTCTATACCTGTATGTGTATATACAACATAGGAGAAATAAGTAAGGTGGCTTGATGAATTCAGACAGCGTCTGTTCTCAAACTGTGTGCCTTCTAAACTTTGGTATCATATCTGGGTTTTAATATTAGAAATGTCAGATTATATCTCTGAGGCACCCCCTGCAAAAACTAATTACCCAATTTTGCCACTGGTATTCCAACTATACTCAGTGTGAAGATTAATTTTTTTTCCTCTTGCATTTCATAAGTATCTTTAAAGATTCTGATTTATAGCAGTTATAAAATATTTCAATCTGCTGCATAATAAAACTAACAAGGGGTACTATCCTTTCTTCTCACTTAAATAAACTATAAAGAGATAAAAAGGAATCTATGATATCCTGCTAGTGGATGAAGTTAAGTTTGACATTCTCTTTTTGCATTTTCTCAATTAGAGAACTCAAAGTTTACAGAGTAGGTCTGAGTTATGACCGAGAAATTTTTAAATAAGTTTCTAAGAATGTTGCATTACAGGAAAGAAGTACAAGTCTTCATGATTTGGCATTTTATCTGCAGCTTCAATCCCAGATTTCTGCAATATATACGTACACACACAAACACCCTCAAACCAGGGTAGTAATTGTCTACTATCTTTTATTTAAAAAAATTCTACTAGGTAATCAGGTGATATGATAAAAAGTGTCTTGTTAATTGTTCTACATTTAAAGAACTCAGAGTTCAGCTGGATGTGGTGGTGCATGCCTGTAATCCCAACACTCGGAGGCTGAGGCAAGAGGATCACTGTGAGTTCAAAACCAGCTTGGGCCACAAAGTGAGCTCAAGACCAGTCTGAACTGCATAGCAAGACCCTGTCAAAAAAAAAAAAAAAAAAAAAAAAAAAAGCCTCAGAGTCCAAATAAAATAAATCATAGAGACACCAACATTAAGAAGTAGCAAGTGTTAAGGAAATGAACACAAGCATAATAAAATTGTAAGAGTTCAAAATATATGAAAAACAACTTCCTACTGAAGCTGGAATTCAGATAAATATTCAGCAATAAGAGAATATTTTACATAAATACTAATTTTTAAAGGAAAATGATAATAGAAGAGATAATCCATAGAAATTATAATGTGAGAAAAATGTGAATAATACTTTTTGTAAATTTATGTGCAGAATCTACCTGACCTAAAAGCGAAACAGTTGGGTAGAAAAAACAGACGGCACACAGAACAATTTATGGGCAGGTCTTTGATAAATGAAATAAACTGTGTTGCACTGAATGTATTTCTTAGCTTCATGTGTATGTACCTAGTTAATTTTTAAATTTCTTAATGCCAGGTAGGGATTTCAAGACTACTACACAATTTGCTTTTACTTGCATGTGACTTGGTTTTAAGCTCTAACAGCCTATTGGTGGTACTCACATCGAGTTACAAAGGAAGGCCCACCACAGCTTTCGTGTAAACCTGTTGTATTTCCCAGCAGATACCTACAGGTACAGAGATGACACTGATGTTGATGGCAGGATACTGCCCAATTCCCTTGGAATTACACAGTCTCCAAATGTTACTTTGTAAAGCTGAGGTGTAGCCTCAACTAGAGGTTTTGCTTCACATGTCCATTTCCTTGCAAGATATCTTTTCCTGGAATTCAACCCTAGTTATTTGAAAATATTGTGGTTTTGAAATTCTCAGTGATAGGTGACTTCAACCCCATGACAACACTATGACTCAGGAACATCTGTCTTACAAGACAGAAAGTTCCAAAAAACTGTAACAGTGTAGGTTTCTTTTAAAACAAATTTGTCCCACTGGACAGGATATGCCACATTTGGAAGTTTTGTGGATATCAACACTTTAAAAATGTTGGACCCTATTCCCAAAGGGTAATTGCTTTTAAGTTGTGTTCAACTCCCTTCCCCGCCCCCTTTTTTTTTCTACCTGTCCATCCTTCAAGAACATTTAATACCTTGGCTTTTTTTTTTTTTAGGCTGTCTGGAGGATTGTCAATCATTCCACTGGTGCTCAATGAGAAATTAAAGTAGTTTAAGGGGTACACGGATGAGGAAAGGACATAGCTTACCACTGTGGAAATTGTGCATGCCGTTATTCACAGCCGAGTGTATCTAAAAAACAGAGAAAGTCAGCTTTGCAAAGCTGCAGTGGCAAAAAGTTAATCTGACTACAGTCTTTGAATATAGCCACTTGCGTTATATTTATAAAGATGTAAGACTGCACACAAGCAAAGTCCTAGGACAAATCACTTTAAAATCAGACAAAGGCCACTGGCGTTGGCAACTCACATCCTCTGAGTTGCTGTCTTGAAACTCTGGATGAAGTCACTAAGATTTTACATCGCATCCTTAATTTCTGCACTGATAGGTAAAGCGTCTGTCTTGGCCACCTAGGTCTCATTGTGGCGGCTACTCCACAGCGCTTCTTCCCTTTGGAAGGTTATATATAAAATATCCACCTGTAAGCTTCAATATTGTCACTCAGATGATCCAGGCCTCCACCCTGCATACAATAAAGAGCGGAGACAGAGGGTCGCAGTACTGGCCCCAGGTCCTCCTCAGTGTCCGGCAGATTCGACACGCGGGGAATATAGGGGGCAAAGGAAGGCTGAGTTTTCTGATCCCACTGTAGCCTTTGACATAATGTTTCTTTTGTTTCTTTTTTCTTTTTTTAGACGATGTTCCTTTTTCTTTTTTTCCTGGATAAAAATTGTATTACTAACTGTAAAACTGCTTTCATGATTACAAGTCAGAGCAATGCTGTGGTTATTTCATCTCATGGAGTGGAGAAGTAGGGTATAATGTATGGGAATTGAAGTTGTGATTGAAAAAAAATAAGTGTTCAGGCCCTCCCTTACCTGTCCAAATGGTCTTCGGATGTCCTCAGAATGTTACCTCCTCGTGAAATGTAAAGTGCAAATAAAAATGCACATTCCAGAGCTTGAAAAAGAAATGAACTATTTTTGAAGACCCTTTCCTGGGGCGTTCTTTGATAGCCTTCTCGCAAAAAGCAGGACTGAAACAGGTCCACTGAGTTTGGCTTCTGTGTGGTTTTCACTCCACTGCTCTCGGAGTCGAGGTCTGAGGGGGAAGAAAACCCTCCTCTTGGAAGGCCCTCCTGCTCATGCTCCGTGCGGGGCTGCTCGAGCTTCCGGCTGAGAATTGAGAGCAAGTGTCTTCGTCTGTGTCTTCCTGACTTGAGCCCTGGGACACACAGACTGATTGTTACGTTCACCCCATTCACCTCTTCCGCAGGGGACTGCTCAGGAGACAGTTACATCCTGAAATCTCCCAAGCAGCTCATCTTCCCACCTTCTGGTTAGGGTTACCGCCCTCAAAATTCCTTTTCTAGAGGTGAAGGTGTTATTTCAGAAACAAAACGGTGCTAAGTGAATGGGCGAGGAATACCAACCCTATCCCCTGCTACTGCCAACATTAAAGGTCACATTTCCTGAACTTTGATGATGGAAATGAGAAATCAGTGCAAGATCTTGTGGCAGGTAAGAGATGGGGATGCGAGGGGCGGAGAGAGCTTGGCAGACCTCCAACACAAAAAGAAGGAAGCAAATATTCTGGAGAATAATTTGACTTGTTTAGAAAATCTAGCCTAAGGAGGATCACTGCAAGTTCAGGGCCAGCCTGGGCTACAAAGTGAGCTCAAATCCAGACTGAACTGCATAGCAAAACCCTGTCTCAAAAAAACCCACAAAAATTAAAAAGAACAATTTAGAGAATCTAGGCTACCAACATGAGAATCTGGAAAATGCGAATTGTAAGGGAAAATAATCACACAGTCTTAGATACGTTTGAGTGTTCTGCAGGGGAGCTGCATAGACATAATAGTCATCATGCTAAAATTGGACTAGAGCTCAGTCAAAATTCCTCACTGGAGATCTAGTGAGGAATTTTGTTTAAAAAATGATCATAGTGCTATGTTATGTCCTGACCAAAAAAACAGTGTAAAAATGAAAACAAAGAGAAGGTTGGATAGAACAAGGAGAGAGCAATATTACAGACTGCCAGAGTGAATAATTTATTAAAAATGTTGCTAATGGTTAGTAATACTGCTACATACATTTCAAGTAGGAACAGTAATAAATGTACTTATTTATTGTCAGTCCATAAGTTCTACTTACATACACAGAATGATGGAAATATAGGGTAAATGTTTAATGTTTAAATTTATACAATAAGATAATAGTACTCCTCAAAATAGTCCCCCTAACTTTGAAAACACTTTACCTTTCTTTCTATTTTCCAAAACAATTCTGGAACTGCTCTTTCATGGGTATTTTTAATCGTGCTGCTCTAACTGGCTAAATGTCTTAAATCAAGTAAAAATATTTACCTTTCTTGATCCTTTGGACTTTGGGAATAGGCCAGAGGTTGCAAGGAGCTGGGTCTGACAAACAAGGGGCGTGAGGACACACCACAGTATTTTTACGGGCCCGCCCTTCCCTTGGAGCAGCATTTGCCATATTTTTGAACAGATATTTGTGGTCAAATCTTGGAGAAACAAGAATCAGGACTTCCAGAATTACCTGAGAAAGTGACACAATGACAGGATAAGTGTGTTTGAAGTGAGTGGCGGTATATTGAGGGGGATTATCAGCAATGTATCTTTTACTATATTTTTAAAATTTGAACATTAATCACTCGATGTATGTGTAATCAGGAGTATGTAATTGCATAGAAATAACTGCCACACTATAATTTAAAAATTGCAGGTAAATACATGCATATTTAGTAAATATTTTGTATATGAATACATTTGCCCATATATTCATATATCATCTTAATGAAAAGAAGTATACAGTAAAACAATTTATTTTATATAAAAATAAATTATTTGGTATTATATCATATAAATTTATTTTAAGTGTTTCTGTAATTGACCTCTGGCTGACATACTTTTATATTCATGAACATTCATCACCTAGGTCTCCCAAAGAGCGTGTGACTCTGGCTCCCAAAATTGTCTTATTGAGCCAGATGTGCCAACTTTGCACATATTTGGGAAAGGGTGGTAGAGTATCTGAAACAACACTTTTCAGACTTTGGAAAATAAGCGCAACAAGGTAATGGTTTCCGATAAAAGAGAAGCAAGTGTCATGAGGATTATAACTTACTGACTAGAACTTCTTCTCAAGGAGAGGAAAGGAAATGCAAATGGTGATTTCTCTTGAGTTAAGCATTATGGTATTCTTCAGTGGCTAGATTTCATAGGGAGATTCAGAAAAAAAATTTAAGTGCAGCTAGACTTGACTTAAGTCTACGTTGATCATATGACCTCCTTAACAACCTACTCTGATTGATGGACCACTGTGATGGTTTTTGGCTCTGTTAGAATCAGTGTCAGCTTACAGGCAATATTTAGATGTTCCTGAAAAGTCTGGCTATTTCCTTTGCTCCAATGCACAGTAACCTTGATAAAAGGCCAGGTGTCCCTTTGGGAAGAGTTGAGGAAGCGATGAATATATATTTTTGGTAGTGTTCTCTGATTCTATCTCCAGTGGACACAGCCTTTGCTTCATTTACAGATTATGAATTTTATGAATTGGCTCTGGTCTGATAATTGACTGAGAGATCATGTTTCTGTTTTTATGGCTAATATTAGACTTTTTTCACTTCACCTAAAAGAGTTCTGCTTATAAAGATGAAGTAAAACTTTGATGGGTTTCTTATCTCTGTCACTTCTACAAAAGTCATGATTAAAAACCAGTGCCATATGTTCAAATGTGTCTGACTACTCTGATTGCTTTAGTTCTGTTGTCTATAATGTTATACAACTGCACCCACCTTATATTTGCTGGTCAAGTGCCAGCGCTTGGCCCTTGATACACTAGTATCTAATTACCCCCATTTCATTTCTGATCTCTAATTGGGTGACTAGTTTTCCCTATAAACTCTGGCATACAAAGAGCAAATATAAAATTCTTCAAGAATGCTCTCCCTGCCAATTTGTTTCTCAAAGTATTAATTAAAGGTATACCTTTTGGAAACTTCCAGTGTGGGAGAGTGAACTTTATATGACAAATTCAATTTGGCATTCTAATCTCCCTGAGTTTTGGGATCCTTTCTTCTACATTAAACCAAAGAAGATCAGGCATCTCCTCTTCACTTGAGTTGATTGCTGTTTGATCAGTTAGCCAAACAAACAACCCTTTCTGTAACTCCTTCAGCTAAACTGGATGTGGAATCTGTGCTTAGGCAACATATATCAATAACATAAAATTTCCCGGATGCAACTTTGTGTTTCCTCAACTATTGTCCAGCATCCTTAATATCCATTCTCACACACTTGGCCTTAGATTACTCCTTGTGTAACTGGAAACTGAAGGAGTTCTTTTGAAGCTTAATGCACTTACTTCCTCTAGGCTTGCACTTTGTATCTCACCTTTAGAGACCTTCTGGCACCCATCTAAAAGCTCAGATAGGTGCTAGAGCTAGGTCCTAAGGTGAATGAGAAATTGTATTCCTTGATAACTGCCTTCAGGGAAGCTGTTACTATTTCTTCAGGCAATGCAGTGTTAATCCTCTTTGGCAGCTTTGGCAAGGCCTATACCACTGAGGCCCCTACAGCCAGCTGAGGAGGTCACTTTGTTTACAAAAAGACTCATCAGGATGTATCAATGCTTACTGTTTCCAGCACCATTACTGTACTACATACATCTCCATATTCACCAATTGGATCACTGTCTCTTCCAACCATTGCCCTAATTTGACCACTACATCCTGTGACCCCAAGAGGTCAGCTCCCACTGTAATGAAGCCAGTGCAGGATAACAGCTTGTGTTTCATTTTCAAGCTGGGGCTACAGTAGAAAAGGTTCTCCCTGAGGGAATATTTAGGAAAGCTTAAACTCTTCATGTCAAGATGAATCAGGAAATATAAATCCCTCGAGCTCATCCTTTTCTTTACCACTTCGTCCAGTAACATTAGAAAAAATTGTACAGAATTCCACTCTGAGTATCCCACAACTACTCAAACCACCTCAATATGATCACTGAATTCTTAGCCTCTTATCAGTGATGACTAGGAGTGTCCCATGCAAGTACTTCTCATATCTTCTTAAATTTGGTCAGGGACTGTCACCGCTGTCTATATTGTTGAAGTACTTAGTATTTTTAAGGATAATGAAAAAGCCAATTGGAAAACTTCAAAATGAATTATGAAAGCCCATCCTTGAAAGTTTGTTCCTTTAGAACTAGTGTGAAAATCTATAGTAGGGTTTGTCAGACAGACAGAACTAATAGGAAATATAAATTATAAAGAAAAGATATAGATAGAAGGATAGGTAGGTAGGTGGGTAGGTAGATAGGTAGATAAGTAGGTAGGTACCTAGGTAGGTAGATAGGTAGGTAGGTAGACAGAGAAAGTTTTTGAAGTAATTTGGTCATATGTTCATACATGAATCCACAGTAGGCATTCTGAAAGCCCAGAAGAACAGAGAAACCATAGCATGGGTAGATCTAAATCCAAAAGTTCCAGAACCAGGGAGCCTGTGGTGCTTGCCTGAGAATTTGAAGAACAAAAAGCCTGCTGTCAAATGTTGGAAGGAGCTTCAGGAGGAGTAATGGGTGGGAAAACACAGTTAAAATGTGTTTGTGTATGTATCAACTTCCCACCATAAATGTTGTAATTGCGTACCCAAAAAATGTACTGATGAAAAGAAAGAAGAGAAGGATGTATCAGCCACACAAAGGAGAGAGGATAATTTTGATTTTCTTCTGCCTCTTGCTTCTGGCCTGTAGCGTGCGTGATGGTGCTCATCCACACTGTGTGTGAGTCCTGCCCACTCAGTCTGACACCTCTCATGGCAGTCTCTTTCAGAAACCCTCTTCAGGGGGACCAAAGTACTGCTTAACCACTTGTTTGGGTAGCCCTAATATAGACCAAGGGGACCCCTAAAATTAACCACCAGAAAGAGAATTTTTGTCAATCTCTCTTCTCATGTGTGGAAAGAAGAAAGATTTTCTTCCTTTTGAAGCAGGTAAATCTATTTCTTTTAGGGTTGCTTTTTGCTCATGAAGGACCAACTGACCTATCTATTGGAAAATATTAGAAAATAGTAAGAGGAATTTCCATGAAACAAGTTAAAAATTACTAGTTGGGAACCCAGTTTTTGATTCATAAGGAAGCCAGTAGAAAGGATATCTAGGCCAGATGGCTCAGATTATCTGCAGACGGTGGAATTAGGATGGAAGTAGTAATGTGACAGTTTTCCTGGTTTTCATTTTAAATGTCTTTGGTGGTTGTAAAGGGTGTTTCCCTGAACTTTCTGAGTATCCTGAAGAGCAGCAAGCACACAGGTTTCCTATAAGGCAATAAGGTGATTTTTATGAAGACTAATACAACATTGCACACTTTGAGGAAAGGACCATTTATTTCTCAGTAACTGCAAATCAGGAGAGTGGGAGGAGATTGGAAGAGTTAGTTTTAAAGGCTACTATCAGTTTCTGCAGAACTAAAACTACCTGAGTACTAATTATACTGAGTA